AGGAATCGCTCCTCCTGCGCTCTGGAGTCGCGCTCTCGCTGGAGACTTGCTGGCAATTTACTGGAGAATAGCGCACTTGCGTTGGAATTTCTTGCAATTTACTCCAGCGCCGCGCTCCCGACACCCAGGCACCCAGGAGTCGCGCTCACGCTTAGGACTCCTTCACAGATTACCTAGGAATCGGGATCTCGCTGCCATTCGTGACCCCGTTGCAGCCCTTCGTGGCCCCCTCGCTTTGTTTCGTGGCCCCGTTGCAGCCCTTCGTGGCCCCCTCGCTTTGTTTCGTGGCCCCGTTGCAGCCCCTCGTGGCCTCCTCGTTGCCCTTCGTGGCCCCGTTGCAGCCCTTCGTGCCCCCCTCGCTTTGTTTCGTGGCCCCGTTGCAGCCCTTCGTGGCCCCCTCGCTGCCCTTCGTGGCCCCCTTGCAGCCCTTCGTGGCCCCGTTGCAGCCCTTCGTGGCCCCCTCGCTGCCCTTCGTGGCCCCGTTGCAGCCATTCGTGGCCCCCTCGCTTTGTTTCGTGGCCCCATATATGTATGCCCTTCGTGGCCCTGCTGTCGTTCGCGCCCGTGGTGGCCCCATATGCATGCCCTTCGTGGCCCCGCTGTCGCCCTTCGTGGCCCCCTCGCTGCCCTTCGTGTCCCCGTTGCTGCCCTCAGTGGTCCCGTCCGTACCCTCCGCGGCCAAACATACGTATGCCCTTCGTGGCCCCCGCTCGTTCGCGCCCGTTGTGGCCCCATGCGCATGCCCTTCGTGGCCACGCTGTCGCCGTTTGTGGCCCCCTCATTGTCCTACGTGGCCCAGGTGCTACCCTCAGTGGCCCCATAGTTGCCTTCTGTGTCCCCGCATTATCTGCCCTTCGTGGCCCACGCTCGTTCGCACTCTTCGTGGCCCCATACGCATTCCCTTCGTGTCCCCGCTGTCGCCCTACGTGGCCTACTTCGTGTCCTTCGTGGCTCTGCTGTCGTTCTCTCTCGCTCTCGTTTTCGCTCGTCGTCGTCGTCGCCGTCGCCGTCGTTGCCGTCGTCGTCGACGTCGTCGTCGTCGTCGTCGTCGTCGTGGTCGGTCCCCTGTCCGTCCCTCTTGGGGTCGGGTCGACGGTCCGCGGCCGCCCCGCGGATCAGCGCTGCCGCTGGCCAGGCCGACGATCCGCGGCCGCCCCGCCGCTTGCCGGGGCCCGGCCTGCAGGGAAGAAAGGTATACCCCCCACAAGGGGTTCGATCGAAGACGAAAAGGGCGGGTATCGAGGGTTTGGTGAATTCGCGTTATTCGACACTCGAGCAGATAAGGGCGAACAGTCTTAAAATGATTGTTGTTGTTGTTGTTGTTGTTGTTGTTGTTGTTGTTGTTGTTGTTTTTGTTGCTGTTGTTGTTGCTGTAGTTGTTGTTGTTGTTGTTGTTGTTGTTGTTGTTGTTGTTGTTGTTGTTGTGTGAGTGTCCAAAAACCCAGGCGCTTTTTTTTGCTGTCATGTGTGTATGTTGGCGAGGGTCAGCAGTGCAGTGATGGGAGGATCGGTGCCCCAGGTTTTTTTGTTTGTTTGTTTTTCTTCTCTCTTTCTCTCGCTTTTTTTCTCCCCCCTCTCCTGCATCCCCTGTCTGGAATAGCTGCTCTTTGCCGACCTGCTCGCGCTGGTCACTTTGCCTGCCTCGCGCCTTTTCCCGAGCCACCTTCCCGTCATCCTCGCGCGGTGTACATCCATTGGCCGCAACGTGAGTCTTTCTCGCGTTGATGATGATAATCCAGACGTCACTACTGACAGACTTGATTCGTCATTTTTCCGCTGCGTCGGAGTCAGCCACTTCCTGCCAGGCGATGGTAGGCGATTGGGGTCCGTCGAGGGGTGGCGTCGAACCACCCCCCGGTTCCCTCATCATCCTCATTCCCTCTTTCTCTCATTTTCCCTCCCCGTTTCCACCTCTTACTTGCCCCGTTACACTCCCCCCTCCAACAAACCAAGACATACCAGAAAACAAACTGACTGGGCCGCAAACTTTTCTGGCAATGCACGAATGCTGAGGCCAACAACACTGCCGACCTGGGATCCGACCACAAGGCTGGCCTCGCCGAGTTGAAGATACCGACGACCGGTATCCAGATGGGCCACGACGAGGAAAGATGGCAGCGCACATTGGGACCACCCAAAGCTTTGACAGGCAAGATCCAGAATCCAAGTGCACACCAGGAGCAGCAACGACCACGACTGAACCCAGACGAGCTACCATCCGACTCACAGTCATTGAACGAACACATCCAAACCGTCCTCATCGACGCCGCTGTTGCCAGCAACGCCGGGGGACCACACGCAGATCAACAACCAGACGGAGACGCACAGCGGCTACACCTCTTAATCGCACAGCGACGCCAGACGCCGAACGACGACCGCCAAATCCGCAAGCAATCGGGCAAGCTCATACAGCAGGAGACCCAGGCACAGAAGCGGAAGTCACGACGAGCCCATATTGGAAGCCTGCTTGAGCAGTTCAGAGACCTGAAGAGCATCCCGCGAATCAAGACACGTAGAAGGCGGGTTCTCATGACGCACATGACAGACACACAAGGCTCACAACGCACGGCGCGGCAAGACATTGCAGATGTGTGTTGCCGAGTTGTGCGGGTATTGTACGATTCCACGGCAGAGGCGACGCAGCAAGAGCAGCGCGATGTGGAATCCTATTTTTCAACAGGGACAGAGTTAGCTATTGCGGTCAGAGGGCTCCGGTTTAGCAGAGCCCACGACAACCAGGGCCTACGAGCAGAGATGTTGAATGAAGGGATGGAAGAACTTACAGACGCACTCTTCCATAACTACAACATGATCTGCCAGTTCAAGGCTCCGCCGCCCACCAGCTGGAAGAGCACGGTCGTCGCGGTTATCTCGTGAAGCAGGGATCTCGCACTTCCTGCAAAACTGCCGACCTATATGAGATATACTTCTGTCGCACAAGCTATCCAGCAGACTTCTCTGCAAACGGCACCAAGCAACACTTGACTCTCAACAGGTTGCAGACCAGGCTCGCTTCAGACCCGGGCATTTGACCATCGACCGCTTGCTCATATTTCACGGTCTCCTGTCTTCGAGAGCGCGCGCAAAGATGGAATCATAATCCCACCAGCCTTTTAGGGCGTCGGTGATCTAGAGAGCTTCCTCTTCCAACCCCCCTTCTTCCCCTTCGGGGAGGGGTTTACCCCTCCCCTTACCCCTCCCCGCTGACCTGGGCGGGGCGTTCCGCGACGCGTTGGGACGTCCAAGATGGCCTCAAGACGGCTCCAAGAGCGAAAAGGCGAGAAAGCAACAAACATTGAATCCCCTAGGTTTTGGAAGGATTTTGGCTTCTTTTGGGGCCCAAGAGGCGACTCGAAGCACTCTAGAGGGCCAGAGGGGCGACGCTAATCCCACCAGCCCTCTGGGCGTAGGTGGTTCCGGGAGTTTCCTCTTCCATCTTCCCTTCTTCCCCTTCGGGGAGGGGTTTACCCCTCCCCCTAACCCCCTCCCCTGGACCTGGACGGGGGGGGGCGCTGGTAGTTAGAGCGTCCAAAACGGCCTCGGCGAGGAAGCCAACATCATCGGTTTTACTAGGGTTTTGGCCCCATTTTGGCCTCTTGGGGGGGCAAGGCTAATTAACCCCACCGTCTTCTTTGATCGATCGCCTCCAAGATGGCCCCAAGAAGCGCCCAGGAGGCCCCAAGAGGCGCCAAGATGGCCCCAAGAGGCCGCCATGAGGCCCCAAGAAGCCCCCAAGAGGCTCCAAGAGGCTCCCAGGATGGTTCCAAGAGGCCTCCAAGAGGCTCCAAGAGGCCGCCATGAAGCTCCAAGAGACCCCCACGAGGCCCCAAGAGGCTTCCAACAGGCCCCCAAGAGCCCCCCAAGAGGATCCCAAGCGGCCTCAAGAGGCCCCCCCGAAGCACCCAAGACGCCCAAGAGCCCCCATTGACCGCCAAGAGACCCCCAAGACGCCCGAAGAGGTTTCCAAAAGGCTTCAAAGAGGCATCCGAGCGGCATTCAACCATCCACCCAGCGTCATCATTCTCCTCGTCCCTCCTTCGCTCGGTTCCTCGCCGCCCCCTCATCTATCCATCTGGCCTCCTCTTCCGCCTCATCCTTTGCACGGATCGGCTCCCCCACTTCCCTGATCTCTTCAACTTGCCTGGACATCGTTTCTGGCTGGGCTGGTGGGGATGCGCGAAGCGTCAAGAATTAAGACCCCCCCTTCTTTGATAGATCTCTTCCAAGATGGCCCCAAGAGCGCCCCGAAGGCTCCCAAGAGCGCCCCAGGACCGCCCCGAAAGGGCCCCAAGAGGCCCCCAAGAGGCCTCCAAGAGGCTCCCAAGATGGCCCAAGACGGCTCGAAGAGTGAACACGCGAAAAAGCACAAAGCATGGATTTTCTTCAGGTTTTGGAAGGGTTTTGGCTTCGAGAAGGGCCCAAGAGGCGATTTAATAGTAAATAATAATTAGTAAATAGTAATAGTAATAGTAATAGTAATAGTAATCGTAATCGTAATCGCAATCGTAATAGAAATAGTAATAGGAACCGTAATCGTAATCGTAATCGTATTCGTATTCGTAATCGTAATAGTAATGGTAGTAGTGATAGTAATAGTAATAGTAATTTATAGTATCAGTAAAATCAGTAATATCGTGTTAGTGATACTTGCTACTAGTAATAGTAATAGTACTGTCGTACTCGTAACAATACTGGTAATACTAACAAGTGGAAGAAGGAACATATGAGGAGGACAAAGAGGAGAAGGAGGAGGAGGAGGGTGGACGAGGAGGATGGGGAGGAAGAGGAAGATGAGGAAGAGGAAAAATTGGAGGAGGATGAGGACGAGGGGGGAAAACAGGACAAGGATCAGATCGGATCGGCGCTTGGGGGTGCTGGTGACAAGAGAAGAAGAGGTGGAAGAGGAGAAGGAGGTGCTTGCGCGGTGTGGGGTGTCAGCTCCGCGCGGACGCCCCCCTCCGGTCCTCGCTCGTCCGCTCCCGCCGACGCCCGGGGGGAAGGTCCTGCGCGTGGCGGCCGACCACCTCCAGCAGCCAAGCGGGATGAGCTTCCTGTCCAGGAGGGCTTCTCCTCCTCAACCTCATCATCGTCGTCGGCGTCCTCCTCCATTCCCTGCGTATCCTCATGAATAACTCCTCCCTGTCGCACCCCGAGGCCAGTCAGAACGGCGGGCTGGCCGTTTCGCCTGAGACTTCCTTCCTGTCATGAGCCTGAAGCGTAAACACTGGCAACAGTTTAGCAGATGGAGGGCGGGTCGTTACATACATTATATATACATATATTTATATACGTATGATCTGACACACACATATATATATATGTATATATATATATATATATGTGTGTGTGTGTGTGTGTGTGTGTGTGTGTAAGGGAGTAGGCAGGGGGAGGGGCCGGAAACGGCGCCTCTGGTTTGCATGGCGGTCTGGGGTGGCTTTGAGGGCTCCAGGAGGGCCCTGAAGGGGCCCCGGACCCCCCCAGAGGCCCCCAAGTTGGCTCAAGAGGCTCCCAATGCGGCCCAGTTTGTCTGGAAGATGGCTGAAGAGAGCACTGAGATGGCCTCCGGACGGGCCACGAGCGCTCGAAGACAGCCCAAGATTGCTCCTTGACGGCCACAAAGGCACTCAAGCCGGTCCAAATGGCTGCCGAGAAGGCCCCCCAAAGGCAAAAATCAAGCATTTGCGATGGAACGACGTCAACTTCCGGGATGCTCGCTTTTCAGTCCTAACAGGGGCCGCGACGGCCCCAGAGGCTCCCAAAATGAGCCCTAGACTGCCCAAGAGGCTCCCAAGAGGGCCCCCAAGACTGCCTGAAGAGAGCTTCAAGCAGCGCAAGAGCGCTCCAAGACGGCCCAAGAGAGTACCCAGGGGGCCCGAGGGGGCCACCAGAGGATCCCTACATGGTCGGAGAGGGCCCCCACGAGGGCTCCAAGATGGGCTCAGCTTCCCATGACATGCCAAGAGGTACCCGGGACGGCCTAAACGGCCCCCAGACGGGCAAAGAAAGGCCCAAAAGGACTCTCTCAAGACGGTCCAAGAGGCCGCCGAGAAGGCCCCCCAAGGGCAAAAATCAATCATTCCCGATGGTAAAACATACATTTGAATTTGCCCCAGACGGCCCAAGAGGCCCCCAAGAGAGCCCCAAGACGGCCTTAAGAGAGCTTCGAGCAGCACAAGAAAACTCCACAGCCCAAGACAGTTCCCAGGGGGCATGAGGGGGCCACCAGAGGATCCCTACATGGTCGGAGACGGGCTCAGCTCTCCATGCCAAGAGGGACACGGGACGGCCGAAATGGGCCCCCGCACGGGCCAAAAAACAGCCCATTTCTCTTGGGGTTCCCGTTTCTTTTTTTGGGGGGAGTCCGCATCCCTCCCAGATTCCAAACATATAGAAAGGGTATCGTTATATTTCATGTCGATTTCCCTTGAGAGACCAAGTTCGGGGGGACCGTGATCAGGAACCGGTCCGGCGCCATTGTCTCCCATTGTCTCCCGTTGTCGTTGTTTCCCGTTGACTTCTGTTGTCGCCCTTAGCCTTATTGCCATCCCTAGGCTTATGATGCTCCCATTGTACTTAATGACCGCATCCCAGAAATGATTTCGAGCACCCGGAAAAGTATCGAAAGAGTGTCGAAACAGTTTCGAAACAGTGTCGGACGAGTGCCTCCCAGGGCCCGACACGTGAAAACCCTAGAGTTTCGGTACTTTTTCTCTGGTGCTCGAAACTCTTTCTGGCGATCAAGGCTGAAGTAGGTTGGTACGTAATAGGCCTAGCCTTCTACCCCTATCCCTATCACTTGTTGCCCGCATCCTATACCCTTGTCCCCATCCTGATCCCTATCATTATCCCTCTATCCCTACTCCTGTTTCCCTGGCACCGTGCCCCGTCTCCGATCGTCTTCCATTCTCCCGTTGTCTCCCGTTTTTCCCCGTTGTCTACGGTATGTTCTCCCGTCTGGTCTCCCGTATTGCTGGTTCTCTGTGTGGTGTCCCGTATGGTCTCCCGTATCGTCTCCCGCATGCACAGCACAGAGCAGTGTCACAGTTTTCGGTTTACCATCTTGCTTTGTGGCCTTGGCGACGGTGTCCGTGCTGTGCTGTGCACTGTTTTGCGCCATACGCGGGCGGGGGCGATCCATTGCGGCGTCAATGGAGCGGTTGCATGGGCCCACGAGAAGCTGCGTTGGTTTCTGATGGAATTGTGTGCCTCTCCACGCGGCCGAGGCATAAGCACAACACTGCACGAGCGTGCTCGTGCAGGACGCGAGTCCGCAGGACTGCTTTCTGGGTGTTGTCCTCCCGAGTGGCTGCGTGTGTGTGTGTGTGTGTGTGTGTGTGTGTGTGTGTGTGTGTGTGTGCGTGATTCTTTTGTCTTGCACCATAATTCGACTAGCCGCATGGGTAACGATTCACCAATGCCGAGCATCATGCTCTCTGTTCCAACGGAGATCGTTTCTGCAGCACCGCTCCTATTGGCGAATGGGTGCCGTCGGCGGTAGAGTCTGGTGGGGGAGCCATACGCTTGACCATGAGATGGGGGTGCCAGGAGCGAGTACGACCGCGGCGTGTGGGGCTTAGTGGCTTGTGCCGCTCGACGTCATGATAATGCAGCTGCTGCTGCTGCAATTGCTGATGTAGATGCTGATGCTGCTGACGACTATGATGTTGCTGTTGCTGTCGCTGCTGCTGCTGATGATGCTGAGGACGGTGCTGAGTATGATGATGACGATGATGACGCTGCTGATGACGTTGCTGCTGCTGATGATGATGCTGATGATGCTGCTGATGATGATGCTGCTGATGATGATGATGATGCTAATAAGGATGATGCTGATACTGATGACGATGATGCTGCTGATGCTGATGCTGATGCTGATGATGCTGCTAACGATGATGCCGATGCTGCTGCTGATGCTGATGATGCTGATGATGCTGATGATGGTGATGATGACGCTGCTGCTGATGATGATGATGCTGATGCTGATGATGCTGTTGCTGATGACGATCCTGATGTTGATGCTGATGTTGATGATGTTGGTGCTGATACTGATGCTGTTGATACTGATGATGTTGACGATGCTGCTGATGATGATGCCGATGGAGATGCTGTTGATGATGATGACGCTGTTGATGCTGATGTTGTTGTTCATGATGATGCTGATGCTGATGCTGATTATGCTGAAGCTGATGATGATGCTGCTGCTGCTGCCTCTGCTGCTGCTGCTGCTGCTGATAATGATGATGATGCTGATGATGATGCTGATGATGAGGAGGAGGAGGAAGAGGAGGAGGAGGAGGAGTGGGCGGAGTAGCAGGAGGAGGAGGAGGAAACGAAGAAGAAGGGGAGGCGGAGGCGGAGGAGGAGAAGGAGAAGGGGGAGGAGGAGGAGGAGGAGGAAGAGGAAGAGGAAGACGACGACGAAGAAGAACACGAAAACGAAGACGAACCATATTATTAAGACGAGCAGTGTGGAACACATGAAGAACACGACTACTAATCATATTAAGCATACTAACAGAACTAGCACGGATAAGAACATTAATTATAAGACTCATACGACGAATCGTATTAATCATGCTATTACGAACACGACTTATAATAACACTATCGATACGCATGCTATTGCGACTAGGAGTACTATTACGCATACCAGTAAACATATTCTAACGACCACTCATGATAATTCCAGAGCGATAGTAATAAGACGCAGACGAATCCTAATCAATAATACTACTAATGATAATCATCATCATCATCATCATCATCATCATCATCATCATCATCATCATCAGCATACGACTAGTAGCAATACGAATCATGGTAACGATAATATTCGTCCTCGTAATATTCATAAGAAGAGGAGGATGATGAGGAGGTGGATGAGGAGGCGGAGGATCAGGAGGAAGGGCAAACGGACCGAGTATTCGCACCGTGTTGTGGGCGCCATCCGCCCCTCGCGTGGAACAGGGCCGAGCCGCGCGAGAGAGCATCAGGCTCCACTGCCCTGCTCCATGAGAGGCCGCCTCGGCCTGCCCCCCTCGGAAGACGCCCTCCTCCGCGTCACGAGCGACGAACGTTCCCGTACAGTGGAAACCCATGCCAAGAGACGCCCTGCTTGCCTCCAGGGTGCCCTGGGTTTACCGGGTTTCGATGGCTCTGCTATGGCAAGCGCGACGTTCCCCCACCAGAAGTCAATGGACGTTTTTGGGTCTCAGGGTTGGGATTTCTTGCGGACGGTTTCTTGCGGTCGAGCTCCTGTTGTAGCCATGCCTTCGCGGTCTGGATGCCGATGCGCGATCCCACGGGTACGCGATCTCCATGGGTGCGTTCCGCGGTGGGCCTCCGCGCAAAGCCGCGCCGTACCCGTGGGGTCTTGGTCGAGGAGCCCCGCCAGGTCGTGGATCGAGGCTTTGGACGGCCACCGCCGATGCACAAGGCGCTTGGGGCCAGCTCGGGGGGGGCGCTCTCGCGCCTCTGCGGGCGCTTCGGCCGCGAGGGTCGACCCAGCATGTCCCCCAGGGGGGTGGCCCGCCCGCCAGGGCTCAGGGCGCACCTGGCGGGGGTTCGGCCCTGACGGGGGTCAGCCTTCCGATCTTCTCAGGCTGATCTGGGGTTGGTGAGCCGACGCCCCGAAGAACGGTGCTCGTCGTCTTCTCCTGGTCCTTTCCCCCTTCCGCCATCCCTCCATCGCTCCCTCCCTCCCTCCCTCATCTGCTTCTCCCCCCCCTCCCTCCCTCCTCCATTTCCCCCTCATCTCTCCCTCCTCCTCCTGCTCCTCCTCCTCTTCCTCCTGCTGCTCCTCCTCCTCCGCAGACCCGGGTCCGGGAGCTACTTTGTGTGGCCGGCCCGGGCTCGCGAGGCTCGCGACACGGCCCTGGCCGACCTGGGTTGGTGATGTCGGGCTATTCGGCTCGATGTGGGGCCCGATGCTCTCCACGCTTGCGTCGCCGATGCATCGGCGATGTGTTTTAGCGATGCGTGGCGATCTTCCGACCCCATTTTCTCAGGCCCCATTGGGAGGCCTTCAGATTTGGGGCCAGCGGGGGAAGGAATCTGTGGAGTGCTGGCTGAGGAACCACAATCCCGATTGTCAGCATTCTCGCTGCCAATCGCCTACCTCGAAGCCGACGTGTCAGCATCTCGAGACCTGTTTCCCATCTCGCTGTCAGCACCTCGGGGGGGTGCTGTAACCATTCCTTTCCGCATCTCCGGCGCAGAACTCGCGATACGACAGCGGGTGGGAGTTCCCAAACCGAGGCGATCTGGGGTCAGCGGTTCCGGGGTGCCCCGAAGACCAGGACATGTTTGCATCATCGAGCGCGCCTCCCACGAGCAGCTGCGGGCGCGAACAAACTGGGTTGAGGGCGGGCCCAGGGGGGCTTGCCCAGGGCCGGGCGCTTGGCATCGACTCCCCTGGACGCGTTTGGGTGCTGATTTGTCTGCAGGCTGCCTGGCCACACTCGTCCTGGCCACGTCCTGGGCTGCCGGGCCAGTCGAATGGCCGCGCACGCCCTGCCAGAAGCCCAGCTCAGTGCGGCAGTTGTGCCCAAGCGCCGTGCCCAGGGTTGGCGCATGGCTTTTGTACTGTGTTGTACTGCCTGGCCCGCTCGCCTCCCCCTCGGCGCCTCCTCCTACGCAGCTCCGCCTCGTCTCGTCGCTGCTGCGGCTGCGCCTCCCCGCCCTCCTGCTCCTCGGCGCTCGTGCCTCCCGCCCCGGCCCCTGCTGGTGACCCTCGCCTGATCCGGGCCCTCCTCCCCTCCTCTCGGGGGCGGCTAAATCGGGCGGTGACGACAAGGGGGGGTTGGATACTTACGGAGGACGAAACATTCTCCTCTTGAGGTGAAAACGACGATGGTAAGTTCGACAGATAACATCGGCGCCGCCGATGCGCGGTTATATCACACGTGTCTGCTTAAGACTTCAGACCGTTGTTCCGGGCCCAAGAGGGAAAATCTTCTTGTTTCAGTGCGTCCCCGGCCCCCCCTCGGCCGCGCCCATGCCGCCGGCCATGATTTGCGCCTCCCCCTCTCGGACGCCTCCATCTTGGACGCCCCGATCCCCCATCTCTCTTCCTCATAAATCACTCCTCCCTTTTGCATCCCGAGACCAGTCGGCGGGGCAGTCCAGGCGTTTCGCCGGAAACCTCCATGTCCCTGGAGCTCGAAGTCTGCAAGAGTTTTACGGATGGAAGGCGGGTCTATATCAAAATGTGGCTCTCGCCTTAGCCCCGCGCGCATGCATTTTCAAGATTTGCAAGAGTTTCACGTATGGAGGGGTGGTTCTTTTCAAGCTGTGGCTCTCGCCTTAGCGCCGCGCGCATTCTTATCAAAGAGTTCAAGATATTCACGGAAGGAGAGCGGATCGTACTTCAAACTGTGGATCTCGCCTGAGTGCCGCGCACATGCGTCGTACAAGTTTGCAAGAGTTTCATGGATGGAGGTCGGGCCGTTTTCAAAATGTGGTTCTCGCCTTGGCGCCGCGCACATGCGTCTTAAACGTTTGCCAAGTTCTTTCACGGATGGAGGGCCAGTAGTTTTAAATGGGTGGCTTTGGCCTTCGCGCCGCGGACATGCGTCTTAAACGTTTGCACGAGTTTTAAGGGTTTTCTTGGTTAGCGTCTCAGAAGCGGTGCTTCGGAATGATGTAGGGCTGTCAGGGCGCAACAGTTGCGTTGATTCGTGGCGCGGTGGAAGTCCCACGAGCGGTGTTCTGGCATGACTCAGGATTGTCAAGACGTAACACGTAACAGTGATGTGATATAGAGGCGTTGATGTCCCAGGAATGATGTTCTGGCACGGTCTCTGATTTTCGGTACTGCGACATCGTTGATGAGTCTTCCGCACTAGTCCTCTTCCTCCTCCTCCTCCTCCTCCTCCTCCTCCTCCTCCTCCTCCTCCTCCTCCTCCTCCTCCTCCTCCTCCTCCCCCTCTGGGCCTCAACGCCCCCGCACGGCCGACCCCGCCCGCCGCTGGCCGAGGTCAACACGTTCTCGCCGGAGGGACGGCTCTTCCAGGCGCGCGTTTTTTGTTGTTGTTTTCGCAGGGGGGGGGGGGCAGGGGGTGGGGGCGGGGTGGGTCGCGGGGTGGGTTGCGGGTTCCCGCGATCCTGGCGTCTTGATCTATTTCAAGCTGGGCGGTTTCGCCCCTTTTCGGGTCTGTGGACCTTCGCAAATCGATCCAGCTCGAACAGTGGCGCAGAAGGATGGGGTCCAGTGTTCCAGGCGCTTCGCGGGGTGGGTCTCGGGGCGAGTCGCGGGGCGGCGCTCGGGGCGCAGGGGCGGGCTGCCGGGCAGGTGGCCTCCTGGGCCCGAGGGCCCGCGCGACTGCGCCCCGCCTCGAGGAGCCAGCGCCCAGAGCAGAGGCACGCGCCCAGCCTGGCCAAGACGACTGCGAGCGCACAGGTCGGGGGCGGCAAAGAGGGGGGTGATGACTAGGGGGGGTGTATACCATGGCGGGGGCCATGATATTTCCCGGATTTCATGGCGCCTCTTCTTATTTCATGACGTCCCTGGCCCCCCCGCTGGGCCGCGCACATGCCGCCGGTCATGATTTGCACCCCCCCCCTCTTTGACGCCCCCCTCATTGCCGCTCCCGAACAGGCACGAGGGGCCGGCGGGCGGGACGAGGCCTCCAAGCGGAGCGCAAGCGGCTTCGCGGCCCCCGGAACCCTCCACGGGCCTCGGGGCCCTCAGAAAATAGTGGGACGAAGAGCTCGGGTGCGAGATCCGGTGCCCGGCAGAGGGCGAGCTCCGCTGGACCTCCCAGGGGCTCATGAAGCACCGACGTTCGTGCGCTCGGCAGGGCCCAGGGAGGCAAAATCTAATGCACTCCGCTGGACCCCGGTGGCTGGGGGATTTTGCGCTAGCTGTACGTTCGTGGCGCCCAAAGAGAAGGCGGGCAGACCCAAGATAATCCAACAGGGACACACTCACATGCCATGGAAACGAGGAACGCGGAAAAGAGACGATGAGATACGGGGAGGTTGTACGATGATAGTGTACATTGTGATCGGGAAGAGGAGGTGGGAAACGGGGAGAAGGAGGAGAACAGAGGGGGAAGGAGGCAGGAGGAAGGGAAGGATGAGCATTCAAGGTGCTCCATCACAGCGATGTATCAAACCACAAGGAGAGTTGGACAGCTCAGGACCGCCCAATTTTTTGTTGGGGGGGGCTTCTGGAGGCCCTTTTTTGGCCCGAGGGGTCACAAGGTGCGGTCGAGAGCGCTGGAGCCCACTCATTGAAACCATCAGGACGCGGCCGCACTGGCCGAGGGCCCTTGCGGCCCTGGCTATACTTGGCACAGCAGCCTTGTAATTATCATCACGAGGAGATAGAGAGGACTTGTTTTCAATCGAGTCTCAAGCGAAATCAAAACTAGGCTACCCGTTCCGCCCCCCAGTGGCTCTTCGTGCCTATGGTGCAGCATCGAACGAGCAACGTCGACGATGGGACCGGAGGCGGAGCGGAGATATGCAGTGTACAGTGGGGGCCTCGGGGGCGCACGCAGTCTGACGGGCCAGGAGCTCCGTCTGGAGGCTTCGTGGGCGCATCTTGGGATCGTCTTACGGGCCTCCTCGAGCTTCTGGAGGTCGTCTGAGCCGCCGAGGTGCCGGTTAAGGGGTGCCCGAGGCTTCGAACGCCCTCAAGAAGCCACTCCAGGCCAAGGGGGATCGGTGCGTGAACACTCACCGTCGCACGATGTTCAGAATGTTTTTGTTGCCTCCCTTTTGGCCTGTGTCCTCAGAAGTGCGTCCGTGGCAGACCATCCGTGGGCCGCCGGGGTCCAGCACGGCCTCCGTCACCAGGCCCAGTCACAAGGCAGCGCCGTCTGGCCTCGAGCGACCCTCGTGAGACGCGGCAGCGCTTCCACCGCGGCTCCTGCAGGTGGAGTACGCCATCGAGGCGATCAAGCTCGGCTCCACCGCGATCGGCATCCGGACCAAGGACGGCCAGGGAGGGGTTGTTTCTGCGGGGGAGGCCG